ATTATTAAGGCTCCTACATTAACTATGAAGCCCAGCCGGGCTGCTCGGGCGAGGCCGGGATCTCCGCCCAAAGCAGGCGAAAGTGGCAGCGGCCACAGGGGTAGTCCTCTCTCGATATGTGTATAGTCTATATAAATAGCTAAATACATATATATATATATATACATATATTATATATATATGTGTGTGTATAAGTATTTATACAAGTTTTCACATATGTATATGCCTGTGTATATGTAAATGTATATGTACTATATATATATACACATCTGTGCGCAAACCACGAATCGCATGAACGGAGGAACGAACGAGTGCATGAATGAATGAATGAATGAATGAATGCATGACTGAATGGATGAATGAATGGAATGAACGAATGAGTGAATCAACGAACGAATGAATGAATTAATGAATGAACGAATGGACGAACGAACGAAGGAATGAAGGAAGGAATGGATGAAGTAATAAATGCATGAATGAAGGCATGAATGCATGAATGAATCAATTGATGGATTGGAATGAATGAATGAACGAATGAATAAACGAATGATTGAATGAATGAATGAACGAATGACTGAATGAATGAAATGAATGAGTGAATGAATGAATGAATGAATGAATGAAGTGGAATGGAAAGCAATGGAAATGACAGGAATGGAATGGAAAGGAATGGAATGGAATTGAATGGACTGGAATGGATGCATGAATGAATGAATGACTGCAGGAATGAATACATGAATGGACGACCTATTGAACTAAAACTGAAGAGAATGTGTGTGTGTGTATCTATGCATATATATATATATACACGTATACATACAACCACATTATATAACGACTATACAGCAAGCCAACAAACACTCCGGCAAACGGACAAACACGTATGTATACATATATATATATATGTATATATATATATATGCACACATCTGTGTATAAATAAATAAATAAATATAAATATAAATATATATATATATATATATGTAAACGTGTGGTGAAAGATGCATCTAGACATTGTATATCTAGTTTTGCTTTTTTGGAAAGGAGATGGATAGGAATGCAGGTGTCGATGCAGCTTCGTCGACATGATGATGACTTTGATGGTGATGATGACGATGATGATGATGACGATGGTGATGCTGCTGATGATGATGATGATGATGATCCTGACGATGATGACGGCGACGATGATGATGATGCTGATGGTAGTATGGGCAGGCTCAGTTGGGGTATGGGTATGTATGTTATGTGCGCTTTCGAGAGGTTTCTTTGCAGCGTTCTGGGGTTGAGGGTAAGAGGCTGCACTTGACAAGGTGTGGTCTTCGTGTGGGGACTGGTATGAGGCTTCGGAGGCTTCGCCGTTTCTTGCACAGTGGTGTTGGAGGTTTTGCAAGCATCTGAAAGACCTGACCACATAAGCCGTCGGTCACGGCCCCAGCAACTGCTACGTTACATCGCACGGCGGGAATAACATCTCCGCTATGAAGAGCGCTCCAAGGCCTAGCCGCACTCGAACAGACTTCATGATCTAATTCCAGAAAGGAATGAGTTCAGGACTTAGGGTGCAGGGAGTAATGTAGAAGGGAAATTCCAGAAAGGAATGAGTACCCATAGTAGTTCCTTTTTGGGTTCATATTTGGAATCCGAAAGGGTAATCCCAAAAAGGAACTACTATGGGGCCTATGGGTAATGTAGAAGGGAATGATAGGTTTCATGTTGAAAGTATCCTTTTGCCGGCAAGGAGCCCTTACATGTCCTGGTCCCTACCTCAACCTGCCAACATGTTGTATCCATGACGGGGTTTTAAGCTGGACACGTTCAACCGAGTGCGACAAGAAACCGAACGACAAAAGTTAGGAACACCTCGAACCTTCATGGGGTCTTGGTTGTAAGTTGTGGTATATTCGTTAGGCAAGGTATCCTGCCCTAAATCCTAAACCCGATACATCAGCGGGCGCACCGGCCAATGCGGATCGTTTACCAGAATCACCTGCGCCATGGCCGTAAACATTACACGTGGATCTTCGTTTCTTTAGGGCTCTGAAGCTATAGGAAGCCTGCCATTCTGGATTTGGTACCGTAGTGCCGTAGGGCTCCGGGGTTTAAGGAAATCAAGCTTTGCAGCCAACGGAAGGTCTGACACAACCAGCTCCTGCACCCAGATACGGGGATATAAGGCTGCGCTTGGTTGTTCTGATGTAGGCATCATTCATGAGTCCCTGGGTCAATGACGAAACTACATAGGGCTAAATACTGTTTTGGCTTAAGGGTTTAGGGTTTTGGGATATAGGGTTTTGGCTTTAAGGGCATATTCCTTGGCCAGAGGGGGGTGTTTTCGAGTGTCTGGGCAGCTTGACCGATGCAGAGCATCCGAAACAGAAACCCTCACAACCGGTAATGTAGGAACCTGACTAAGAAACCCAGGCCCTCTAACCCCTAAACCCTAAACCCTATAGGATTTAGAAAAAAGAATCCTAATAGGGACCCCGGATTTCTTAAGCAGGTTCCTATATAATACTGTTTCTTAGGCTTCCTGAAGATCGCAAGCGTAGAATATACCGTACCCCCAACATTATATTCTCATTCTTAAGCCCCCTCAATATGCTCCCAAAGGGTCCTAGGTAGTGTTATGGGCCAGTTATGGGGAATACTTTCCCAAATCATAATAAGGACTCCTCATGTAGAAACCCTACATTCTACCATACAAGTACTTTGGACCCTTTGGGGTTACGACAGTGCAAGAAATGGAAACCCCCAGACCCTAAGCCTGGGGGGCCGCAAACCTCGACACTGTTTAGGGTTTAGGGTGCAGGGTTTAGGGTTTAGGGGAGAGGCCCCCAGAAGCGACCCTAATCCAAAGACCCTATATAACCCTTATATACCCCTTATAGAGTCTCATAAAGCCCCTAGAAAAACCCCAAGGGTCCCTTTAAGGGTCCTTCCTTTAGTCCCTTGAACTGATCGCTTGAACCCGAGCCCCAAACCTTAAACACCCTGACCTATAGGCTAAACCCTAAACACCCTGACCTTTCGGCCCTAAATCCCCGAAGCTCTTTATCCCGATACCCAGTGCCCGAACCTCCAAATCCCGGAAACTCGCTCTAGAACCTTGGTGTTGGGGGGTTTACCTTAAGAACAAAAAGAACCTTAAAAGTAGGGGCCCTTTACCCTTATACTATGAATCCCTATATGGTCTATGAACCCTAAACCCTTTTAGGGCTCTTTTCGTCCTTAAGGTAGGGTTTAGGGTAGTTTATGTTGCTGTGATTTGTCCATCCTCCGGGGTTAAAGTTTCAGGCACCCAGCAAGCCCCATCAAAAACCATGGAACATCCTAAACCTTGAACCCTACGCCCTAAACCCTGAACAGGCCGTAAGGCCCTAAACTTGAAACCATGCGGTTTAGGGTTTAGTTTAGGGCTTAGGGATGCGAAGCCCGGAAGAATCTGGCCTTGTGCCGCGCATTGCACAAGAGCGGCAGCAAGCATTGTGCCTGCACGTGGGAGATTTAAGCTTATAGAGTTCGGTTAGGGTCCAGGGTTGAGGTTACAGGCTTAGGGTTCTCTGTGTCCCTTTTGGGGTCCTTCTTATAAGGGTGTCGTACTATATTGAGGACCTTAAAAGGGACCCTAACTTAGAGAACTACCATATGGGGTTCGGTCCGGGTACAGGGTTGAGGGTATAGGATTTAGGATGATTTGGGGGTTTGGTCTTGGCATAACTCAGTGCTTAGCGTTTGTATGCCCAGGGCGTCTCGGTTCTGATGCGAGGGGCTGAAGGGAGAACCTTTCCCCTAAACCCTAAACCCTAAACCGTGCTATTGACACACCGATCTCTACATCCGAAACTCGAACCTACAGCCGAAGGAAGATTAAAACTAATGTTTGCAACCCTGACCCTCACGAAGTGTTCATGTACCCTTCGAATTCCTGTGCATGACCCGACAGGGCGTTTAAACACCGACAAGAACAAAAACACATGCACCCGACTGCCAAAACCCTGAACCCCACAAGAAAGCCAAACACAAAGACTGATAGCTAACAAAGCAAAGCCGACCCTTCGGGAACAATAAAACATCTGCGGTGGACGCAATGCCCTTCCAGAATGCAGCTGCTTGCCTCGTAGTCGAAGCCATGGGAGGGACCTGCTGCAGGAGCTGCCCTAACATAGCGGGCTCGGCACTTGGAATTGGGTTTAGGGTTTAGGGTTTAGGCTTTAACAGGGTTCGCGGAAGGTGCTATGAGCAATATGGAAGGCTAATAAGGAACATTTCAGAATGTATCGAGTTGTCTTAGGCTTCTATATTCAACCCTAAGCCTTGTCAGTGGACCCAAAATCTTAAACCTCAGAACCCCAAACCCTAAACCCTAAACCCTAAAACCCTAAACCCTAAACCCTAAACCCCAAACCCCTGAGCCCTGAACCCATGATCCCCCATGGGCCCAGCTCGTCCTGTCACGTCTTGGATCTTAAGAAAAGCTGTCCGTGTCACTATGGGTAGTTCTCCGAAGTAGGGTCCCTGTTAGCTCCCAAGAATAGTACCGGCACCCTTTTTGTTAAAGGGACCCCAAACTATACAGAACTTAGACCCCTAGCAAAAATTATAATGTTAGCTGCTTCTTAGGGTTTATAGTAGCCAAAGATTAACAATTCTTTCTAAGTACCCCTAAGCAAAAGCAAGGGACCACAATGTTAGAGAACTATCATATCCATGTTGTTCGTCTGGGCTTTGAAGTAACCAGGGAGAAAGAGGTATAGACTTTCATTTCATAATGGCTCCTTTAAGGAACAGGTCCCAAACAAAAGTATTAAAGTATGGTACTCCAAAGCCCAGTCGTTGTTGGTACCGAAACCGTGGCATGCTCCCCAATGACCCTGAAGGGGTGAGTACCCCAGCCCAAACAGGATTAGGGTTTAGGGTTTAGGGTTTAGGGTTTAGGGATTAGGGTTTAGGGTTTAGGGTTTAGGGTTTAGGGTTTAGGGCGTATGGTAGGGTTATATGAGCCCTAAAGGGTTACAGGTTACCTACTACTCAGCTTCTGAGTAAGTGCCTCTTTGAGAAGGAAAGCCTCCGCCAACCTGTCTATTGCAAGAACGGGGCCGGGAGGCCGGGACCACACCTGAATCACATGAAGATAAGTTTACAGGTTTAGGGTTTAGGGTTTTGTAACTTTAAATTTAAACAAATCATATCCAGAAATGCCACAAAGTTAATTTCAAAATGATCCAGGGACTGAGCAAGCATAAGTCAAAGCAAGGTACTGATCCTCTACAGAACCATTTGACTGACGTAATATAGGGGCCTTAAGAACTTAGAATTGGGTTTGGGGACCAATTCTTCTAGAATTATAATAGGGCACCCCCAAAATAGTATAGGTAATTATCTAGGCCCCTCTATTACTTCAACACTATTCGAAACACCCATGCCTTCAAACCAGATCAGCAAAGTGGAGGGCACGGGACCAATCCGAAACCCAAAACTCGAGATGAAAGCCAAACCTACGGCACCCTCAAACCCTGCAAACCAAAAGGTGTTTAGGGTTTAGGGTTTAGGGTTTAGGGTTTAGGGTACCAAAAGGTGAAGGCCCCTTCAATACAAGGTGTAACCCCTTGAAACACATTGATCACTAGAGTCACCCCAAACTGTAAGGCTACGCCCTTCACCACGAAATCGCCAGCTAAACGTCATTCTTCAACCCAAAGCCCTGAACCCGAAACACTAACCCTAAGGGTCCATGTACCCAAATAGAAGATACTTTGGCCCCAAAGTACCCAAATAGGGACTACTTGAAGGCCAAAGTATCTCCTGTTTGGGTACATGGAGCATTTGGGTAAGCCCTAAACCCACCGCTTGCCTCCGATCTTGGTTGCCCAGAAAAAGTTGAGCTCTGACCTTGCACGCTTTAAGGCTACAGGATCCGAGTGTAGGGCTTAGGGTCGTCTAGAGGGTTTCTACAGGGTAGCTTTTTATTGGGAGTTCACGAACGATCTCACTGCTTACTTTCTTAACGACTCAATCTTTCCCCAAAACCTACGCCCTAAGTCGGGTGTTATTATTATTGCTATTGTTACTATTATTAGTAGTATTATTGCTATGGTTGTTGTTATTGCTGGCAGTATTAATACGCTGTTCTCATTAGTAAAAACTTTACTAATGATTCTGGCTAACTGATTGTTATTGTTACTGCCTTTAGGGTTAATATTGTTGATCATTGTTAGTTTTGTTGTTAGTTGTACTAGTGTTAATACTGCTATTGATATTGAGCATGATGATTCCTACTAACATTTTGGTCATGAAGGCTCTTGTGTTTTATCACTATTGTTAACATGAATATTATCTTCAGTATCACTATGGTACACGCATGTGTGAGAATATGTATGCACGCATGGAAGTATGCATGTATGTATGTAGGTATGTATGTATATGTATATGTATATGTATGTGTATGTGTATATGTATATGCATATGCATATGCATATGCATATGTACGTGTATGTGTAAAGATATGTACATGTATAAGTCCATGTATATGTATATGTATATGTGTATGTATGTGTATATACATATATATATATATATATATACATGTATATATGTAGGGATTGAACAGGGGAAAGTGTTTGCTATTCGGTTCGTTCTTTTTCAGGGCCCCAAGATATGCGAAGTTCAGGTTTCTCCACTCGGACTTAGCTAAGCAATTGTGCTTGAGAGTTCAAGGCTTGGGGTATAGGGTTCAGGGTTTATAGGGTTTTCAAGTTAGGATTCAAGGCTCAGGGTTTAGGGATCTGCATGCTGAGCTATGAACTCGTCACCTTCGTGGGTCACCAGCCTGCAAGGCAAGGAAGTTGAGCTGCTGAGATGTGCAAGGAATCCCCAGAGGGCCACTCCCCCAACAAGGACCCACCAACATTTCAAAAGAGCTCTTGAAGCACTCACCGATTATGAGCAGGATAAGAGCCCTCTTTCTTGGTGTAGAGTAGGCGTGCGTCTAAGATCTTGTGATGGCAACCCTACTTCCTAAGCATACACCCCCAAGTATCGGAACTCATTCAATGGACCCTAAACCCCTCTAAGCCCTAAACCCTCATGGACCAGACCCTCACTTCCGAGACTCTATACAAAGGTAGCTCTGAAAAGATGGAATTGCTGGGTTCGTTTTTTCTGTAAGGGCCTTAGATTTTGGAATAGGGTTATGGGGTCCATTATACTATAAGTATAATGAGGAACCCCTCAAACATAGTGTTGTAATTATTTAGGCCCCTATCGGGTTGGTGAAGGTTCCGGTGGTGAGGGAGCTTTGAACTCCTATAGGCCAGGCTTCGGAATATCAGAAGTGATGGTTTTGGATCCCCAGGGGTCGGCTTCACCAGCCGTGAGAGGTCTAGCTAGGCTCCGGGTCAAACCAAAACAGCAACCAATCATTCTCCAAAATCTGTACCCACCTCAATTCCGGTTGAGGGCATCTTCCTTGATAGGAGGGGGAGCTGTGCGACCTGTTTGGTCATCCACTCAGCATTTTGCATCTAGGGCCCTGGCTCCATACGAGCTCAAAAATCTCTGTATTTCTCTTTCTCTCTCTCTCGCTTACATGTTTATTTCTAGATATTTGTATGTGAATGTATATACGCACGTACAAATAGCTCACTCAAAGCTGTACGTGGGAACACGTATTGGTATACATTCACATGTTTAGAGCAACAAATTGAGAAATCCACTACTCCTGTAGATTAAATAGGCGATTTGAGGATCAAAACCACCCCCGGAGCCACCGCAACCGGCAAGTCGAGAACATTACTCATACTTGCTAGGCTCTTCAGCAACCCATTGGGAAAAAACATATATATATATATATATAGTATATTTCTGGGTGAGCTATATCATAGTCTAGGAGGAAACCCGAAACCAAAAAAGTAAACACCATATTTCACTGGACAACCTTGTTAAGCTAGAGCTCTGATTAACAAAACCCATGTCTTTAAGGGCCTTCATACTTTAGAGTATTAGGATCCCTCTTTCAGAACTTCTAAGCCAGGGCGATTTATGCATCGGTGGTTTCGGTTGCTTCCATCACCCCTGGACGAAGCAGCACATTGAGACTTTCGCAAAACTCGGAACCCCTCCACATTTGAACCAAAGAAGCACCCCAACATCCCTGAATCACGCGTCAATTGCGGAGGCTCCCTATCAAACTTGAAAGGGCTTGTCTTACGTATAGTCTCCATTGCAGGTCCTTGTTGTTGTTGTTCCTTTTTTGTTAACAGTTTTTTTCATGGTTAAGATCGTAGAATATGAACTTGGTTAACCCAAAACAGGAACTACAATGATGGAGACTATAGGTACTTAACCAAAATTGGAGTCTCTAGACTATCTTGAAGCACCCAGCGATAGCAAAATAGTGCCGGGCGCGCCCCTCTCCGTGCTCCAAGACGAGGGGATGCCGCCAGTGGCTGATCTGCCTCGGATTTTTGGATTCGTAGTAGGGTTGAGGGTTTGGGACTTAAGGTGGTGGACTATAGGGCTTGTAGGGTTCAGGGTTTCAGCTTACGGTTTATGTTCTAGTCTAACGGTGCACCTGTAGCCTCCAGTGCTAACTCCTTTCTTTGCTTACTAAGATTGACTACTCATTTCTATGACTTGGATCCTATTATCTTAACAATCAAACCAAGTAACCCCAACAGGAACTGCAACGGAGACTATAGTATGTTAGGATTGCGGGCTGAAACGAAGTACCCAGGACGACGACGACGACCACCACCACCACGAGCATATGTACTAGCCCGATCTAGCATTTAGGGTTTAAGAAGTACTGATAATCCCAAGTGACAGCCCACACCCTCCAATTCCCTCCCTAAACCCTAAACCCTAAACCCTAAACCCTAAACCCTTATCCCTGGGGCATTGTTGGCAGTCACACGACTCCTTAACGTTTCACGCTAAATCCTTGCTGCCGGTAAGCAAGAGATTCAGCCCACGCAGCTGTTCCATGCCGACCTGGCTTGGTTCATTTTAAAAGAAGTTGAAGAATTACTAGAGTTTGCTTAGGCTTCAGAGCCCTAACCCTAAACCCTAAACCCTAAACCCTAAACCGTAATTTGGAGAATTACTAATTAGGGTTTGCTTAGGCTTCAGAGCTTAGGACTTGAGGTTTGGGTGGGGGCTTGATCACGGTTTAGGGCTTAGGGTTTAGGGTTATGTTACAAGGGGTTTAGGGTTTAGGGTTTAGGATTATGTTACAAGGGACTACCAATTTCTCAGGCCATTTGCTGTAGGTTTCGATGTAGGCCATTGGGTTTCCAGCCTAGCGTTTCTTCACTAGAAAGCATCGATGAGTTACGTAGCGGTATGCACTTGGGCTGCAAGCATGGGACCCTGAACCGACCAATGACAGGTCGATGGATCTACCCTAAACCCTAAACCCTAAACCCTAAACCCGAAACCCTAAACCCTAGACCCTAAACCCTAAACCCTAAACCCTGAACCCAGGAAGGCGTCGTCGGGCTTAAGAGTTAAGGGTTCTAGCATGGCAGGGCTCTCCCTAAGGGTCCATGTGCTCATATAATAGATACATTGGCCCAATGTGGTCCCTATATAGGTACTTTAGGGCCCATGCATATGCTATATGAGCACATGGACCTTGAGGGTCTGTTGTGCAGGCACAAGAGGCGTTTAAGGTCTTTGTGGGTTGAAGTTCCGGTTTTGGGTGCAGGGAGGGGTTCAAGGTTTGGAACCCTAAACCCAAAACCCTAAACCCTAAACCCTAAGGGATTTGGGAATCATGCTTTGCGCTTTGCACGTTGAATCGCTTGAGCTCAGTTAGGACGGCGACGATTGAGGATTTCGAACTCAAGGCAGCTCGCGCGGAAACTTTGCATGCTGTACAAAAGAGGCCTTATGAAATAAGAACAGGGTGTTGGGGTATTATATTGTAATACAATGAGGAACTCTATGAAATAGTATAAGTGTTTATTTGGGTCCCTATATTCGTCTAGGGTCTGCGTTTATTTGGGTCCCTATATTCGTATAGGGTCTGGGGTTGAGGATGTTTCGGAAACTTCAAGTGAGCTCTGGCCAAACCCAATGACGAGGCCGTGAATGCCCAACCCATATCGCACTGTAAACCCTTGTCGGGTTTAGGGTTTAGGGCTGAGGCTCGAAACAAGGAAGGGTGTAGGGTTTGGTATTTACGGTTAGGCTCAAAACAAGGAACCCTGAACTCATTGCAAAAGCCGTTGTGCAAGCCTGTAGAACCAAAAAGCCTAAGCCTCATGACATTCAAGGCCCACAGGCCCTAAGCGAGGCGAGTGCACCGGATTCGTATATCGCCAGGCTGCATAGCCTCCAGAATCAACGTGCATATGGGTGGTTGTCAAAATTATGGTCCCTTTTTGGGTCCTTGTTATAATACGGCACCTATTATTTAGGGTACCCCAAAAGGGACCATAATTTTGACAACTACCCATATGTTCAGATTCAAGCAAGAACCGAAAACCCGTCGCCCCTGATGTCGCTCCCGAACTCATAAACTTTAACATGCAAAACCTTCCAACTTAAAACCCAAAGCCCTAAACCAAATATATATATATATATATATATCTTAAAAAATCACCCAGAAGAAGTAAATCATGCTTCTCTTCACACGCCACAACCCCAAAGGGTCCAAGTACTAGTATAGTATATACTTTGGGGGCCCAAAGACCTACTAAGTACCTACTATAATGGTAATTGGACCCTTTGAGAACAGTCCCCTCTCCAGGCAGGATCTAGGGAACTTGTACTCCAGATTCTTAGGCAGGACTATAGGTAGATTCTTAGGCTAATCCCGAAACCCTAAACCCTAAACCATAAATCTGAAATACTTAGGGAACTTATACTCTAGGTTCTTAACCCTAAACCATAAATCTGAAATACTTAAAGTTCTTATACCCTAGATTCTTAGGCAGGAAATCCTTCTTTCAGAAATACTTAGAAAAGTTATACTCTAGGTTCTTAGGCAGGATTTTATTTGTTCAGGCCTCCAGGGGGCGAAAGGACCGCCTCCGTCAGCGCACGAACCGTCGCCGCAACTTCCGGCAGCGGCAAGGGCTGCCCTTGGAAGGTCCTCCGGTTTAGGGTTTTAGGGTTTAGGGTTTAGGGTTTAGGGTTTAGGGTTTAGGGTCTACGGTCGAGGGTTTAGGGTTTAGGGTTTAGGGGTTTAAGGTAGGGGCCTGATGAAGTAGAATCGAGTGTTTGGGGCTCACTATACTATAATCATAATAAGGAACCCGAAAATAGTACAGATAAATTATTTTAGGCCCCTACATTACGGCTGCGGGTGTAGAGTGCTCTGTTGTGCTGGCAAGCTCCGGGAGGTATTCTAGCCAAGTTTCGACATAAGCCCAAGCCTTACGCCAAAAGCTGTTTTTGTCGGGAGATGCTGGTAAAGGGTGAAGGTTCAGAGTTTAGGAGTTTAGGGTGATTCAGATTGCGTTGACGCCCGAAACCTATGTACAGTACTCACAACATTGAACACCTTTTCCGGTTTGCAAAGAAATCCGTGGAAGGCTCGCTCATGGTGAGCTTTGATGCTTGCTGGCTCGCTTTGTTTATCCAGGCCCCGCACCCCTACGGATCAGAAGTCGCCGGTCCTGTGTATGTGGCCCTCATTGATCGCGCGCAGGGGCATCTCGGAAGCATGCAGAGATTAGGGATTGAAGCTTCATGTAAGACATACAGGCTGTGAGTGGGATCTATTTGCCACGTGGCGTAGGATTTATCTAGTGTTGTCACACACTCATAAAATCGAGTCCAGCCTCTGACCCTGTAATAGAATATGGCTAAACCCTA